AAATCTCACCACACACACAGGCATGCAGTGAAATCAACCACAGCACACAACACTCAGTGACAAAGGACCCTCCACCGTATAAAGAACTGGCTAACTGCCCGCCCTGGACCTCAGCTCCTGTAACAAAAATCAGAATTCAAATAACACTTTGAATATCACAAAACAAATTCCATAACAATAACACAAAATATACTCAATAACGAAACAAAAGAGAGTGGAAGACCACAGACAAAGGAATAACCACTCTCAATAAACAGTTCAAAACAATAAATAAAACAAAAAATAAGTAATCAAAATAAACAAAACTTCCAAACTTGAATTAAACAAAACGAACACATAAATAAGGCGATTAAGTGAGACTAACCTTCACTTATCACAATATCAAATAAATACAATTAGAATAAAAATTATAACTTACACAAACGCAGTTGTAATAAAAAAAAACGAAACCAACAAAATATAAACTACAATCAAAATGCACACATACACACACGCACACACACAAGGCGGATGCAAGCCGTACGAACTCCAGCCAAAGCGACGCGCACACATACGAACAAGACAGGCTCCAAACGTAGCGCAGGCCCAGACGATATAGTGCGGACAAGACAGCAGCATCTGAATGTTGCCCCACCAGTTTAAATTTAAAATGTCAATTACTCCTAAAAATAAAAACATGAAACGATTACACTATGAACTATATAAAAAAAAACAATACACATCAGAAAACGTAGTTCACATACCTTCGGTTTACAGCCACAGCATTTGATCTAACAAAGCGATCACGCAACAACAAGAGGCATCGCCACGCCACAGCACAGGACTGCAGGGGGGAAAACATTAAAACACACCAGCTACTCAATGCACGATAACCAAGCTACCCTGATTTCACTTACCTTGATATTGTACTACAATTATGAATCCATCATGAATCCACGCAGATAACGAGCAGTGACCAATCGATGAATAAACTACGGGAAGTCCGCTATAAAAGGCAGCAGCCGCTAGCCAACCACCACGTCCAACTTCACAGGAGCAAAGGAAACATTCGCCAACCAGAAGGGACGGTCCTCGGACAGAACGACACAAACGGTACCCAGGCACCCAGCAATGCCGTAACATTCCACTTTTACACGTTCCGGGAGGGCATATCATTGGGTGAACCATACAAGGGGCGTGGCAACTAATAAGTGATATCATACCCACTTCTTAACCCACTACACTATCAAATAGCACACCTAGGTTCCTAACTGATGACGAAGAAATAACAGAGCAGCCATCAAGTGTTAGACAGTGTTTTAGGTTATTACATGCAGAGGTTTTTGGTCTAATAATTAAAACCTCTGTTTTTTCAGAATTTAGCAGTAGGAAATTACTAGTCATCCAGTTTTTTATATCAACTATGCATTCCATTAGTTTTGCGAATTTGTATGTTTCATTGGGTCGCAAAGAAATATAGAGCTTAGTATCATCAGCATAACAGTGAAAGATAACATATCTCCCAAGGGTAACATGTAAAGTGTGAAAAGCAACAGTCCTAGTACTGAGCCTTGTGGTACTCCATACTGTACTTGTGATCGATATGATACCTCATCATTCACTGCTACGAATTAATGACGGTCAGATAAGTAAGATTTGAACCATGACAATGCAATTCCACTAATGCCAATATAATTTTGTAGTCTACTCAAAAGAATGTTGTGGTTGATAGTGTCAAACGCGGCACTAAGATCCAGAAGCACTAATAGAGAAATACAGCCACGATCTGATGATAAGAACAGGTCATTTGTAACTCTGATGAGAGCAGTCTCAGTACTATGATACGGTCTAAATTCTGACTGGAAATTCTCACAGATACCATTTCTCTCTAAGAAGGAACATAGCTTAGAGGATACTGCCTTTTCTAGTATTTTTGACAGAAAAAGGAGATTTGATAATTAACTAATTCTCTAGGATCAAGTTGTGTTTTTTAAATGAGAGGCTTAATAACAGCCAATTTGAAGGTTTTGGGGACATATCCTAATGACATTGACAAATTAATAATATTCAGAAGAGGATCTAGGACTTCTGGAAGCACCTCTTTTAGTAGCTTAGATGGAATAGGGTCTAACATACATGTTGTAGGTTTTGATGATTTGACAAGTTTATACAATTCTTCCTGTCCTATAGCAGAGAACGAGTGGAATTGTTCCTCAGGGGATCTACAGTGCACTATCTGATGCGATACTGTGGTTGACGGCTGCATGGTTAGAATTTTATCTCTAATAGTATTGATCTTGGAGTAAAGAAGTTCATAAAGTCATTACTGCTGTGCTGTTGGGAAATGTCTGCGTCTGTTGATGCTTTATTTTTTGTTAATTTAGTCACTGTCCCGCCAAGCAATACGAAATACCTCTAGTTTTGTTTTCTTCCAGCTGTGCTCCATTCTCCGGGCTGCTCTCTTTAAGGCGCAAGTGTGCTCGTTATACCACGGTGTCGGACTGTTTACTTAATCTTCTTTAAGCGTAAAGGAGCAACCTTATCTAAAGTGCTAGAAAAGAGAGAGAGTCAATAGTTTCTCTTACACCATCAAGTATTTCTGAGCTATTAGATATGCTGAGGAATTGAGACAAGTCAGGAAAATTATTTACAAAACAGTCTTTTGTTGTAGAAGTGATGGTTGTACCATATTTGTAACAAGGAGTTGAGTTTGCAGCTTTAGCTATATGGAGTATGCTAGATAATGATCCGAGATATCATCACTCTGCTGCAGAATTTCAATGCCATTAACATCAATTCCATGTGACAGTATTAAATCTAAAGTATGATTAAGAAAATGAGTAGGCCCTGAAACGTGTTGTCTAACCCCAATGGAATTCAGAATGTCTATAAATGCTGATCCCAATGCATCTTTTTCATTATCTACATGGATATTAAAATCACCAACAATTAAGATTTTATCTGCAGTCAGCACTAACTCGGATAGAAAATCAGCAAATTCTTTGATAAAGTCTGTATGGTGCCCTGGTGGCCTGTATACGGTAGCCAGTGCAAACGTCACAGGGGATTTATCATTAACACTTGTTTTTCTGGATAATGTTATATGAAGCACCATTACTTCAAATGAATTATACTTGAAACCAGACCTCTGAGAAATACTGAAAATATTACAATAAATTGTAGCAACAGCTCCCTCTATACCTTTTGGATGCACCCCATGTTTATAACAGTAATCTTGGCGGATAGACTCATTTAAAATAATGTAATCATCCTGTTTTAGTCAGGTTTTTGTCAAACAAAGCACATCTAAGTTATGATCTGTTATCATATAATTTACAAAAAGTGCTTTTGTAGAAAGGGATCTAATATTCATTTAGCCAAGCTTTATCATTTGTTTATCTGTATTATATCTGTTTTTTTAATTTGTTGACCAATTAAATTGTTACCCTTAAATTGTTTGGGACGTGTTTTGTATTTGCTTGTTCGAGGAACAGACACAGTCTCTATAGTATGATATCCAGGTGAACGAGTCTCTATGTGTTGAGAATTAACTGACATCTGTGACGTGAGGCGGCTAGCAGACGGCCGGTTTAGTCAGTCTGTCTGGTATATGTTAGTCTCAGCCTCAGACGTCACGCCCACAGACAGTTGGCTGAACGTCTGATGCATACGGCACACAAAATTGGAAACACTTCAGGAGTTTCGAAGTCGTCACTGGGTTGGTTGAATTACGCAGGATTTCTGGGAGACGTGTGTGTTGCGTTCTTTAAAGTTCCGCCTGGAAACAAATATGCTGTGACGCCAAACCCACTCATGTTAGAACAAAGCCGTCGTGTTTACAACTGTGACAATGAGCACTTATCAGGATCAACTAAACACTGAATTTTCAAAAGTACGTGAAATATTTAAAGTTCATGGCATAGAATCTTTAAAATACGTACAAGAGTTTTACACACCGGTATGTTATTGTGGGGACATTTCCATGACTCTAAACATGATGCGGCACAAAATGAAACATGATTGGTTGCTTTATCTGTCAGTCATATGGCCTCTTGGGCGGTCCTTAGCCATCCCCAAAGTTCCCAGACCTTCTGCCGTCAGTCTGAAGGTCTGGCTACACAAGACTACGTATATGTGGGCGCAGTACCCTGGTTCCCTAAGGATTCAACCCCAGTCCCAATGAAGACGAAAACGTTCATTTTCTGGTTGTCATAGTCTCATTATCAATCATGCTAACGTACAAACCTAAATTGCTAACTGTTCTCACGTCATGTACGGTGTACATAAACGAAGGTGTACACTAGCCTCTCCATATTAAACTGGTTAAATGTAAATTTATTTAATCTTACTCTGCGGTACATGAACAGTGTTGATCCTGGATGTTTTCATCGGTTTTCTTCTCCCTCTTGCATTGTGATCTGTAAACACTCACTTCCAAATTAATCTTGTTACCCACCATATTTATTTTAAAATCTTTTATATATCCCTCCATGCCATATTTAAGTCCCACTTCAATGCTCCTCAATGAGAGGTGGTCCTTCTGTGTCCAAAATTTATCAAAAACCGGAAGGGAGAGCCCTGTCCGATGCTGAATAAGCAATGAGATTCGAAGCGTCGGATGGAGGGCTCACACTGTGACCGAAGGGAGCGAGATACTTCCAGCTGCAGAACCACAGAACCCTTACATCACAGCAGTCTCAGGATAGCAGCGACAGGCCAGCAGCGTCAAGCCGGAAGTGGGCGGAGCAAAAGTTATCTTACTAAGCATAGCACCACGTAGTGTTTTGGATCACCTATATCTACGTTGATGTCAAGTCAGCATTTTATTATAACGATTTAATCAGATGATAGATAGATGATGTACATAGACAAAACGAAGCTTGAGGATTTGAACATTTGATTTAATTTTTTTTTTACAATTATTTTTCCATTATACACATTATCATACATAAGTAACAAAAGATAAAAAATAAAATAAAACTAAAGAAAATAAAACAAACAAATGTTAAAGCAAAGCAGGCACACATTTAACAATAATGATCAAAATTGACAAAAGAAAACTAAAATAAATCAAAACTCGAGAAACATGCAATTTATTTTGAGGCCCCTTTTGTCCATGCACTCATTGAGAAAAATGTACATATTCTCCTTAAATTGGAATTGGAAAACAAAAGGTTCTTTGGCCAGTTGCTGGTCGTCAGCCATTTTGGCCTGTGAAAGCTGAAGAAGAGCTTCCTCTTTCAGTTGGGGGAACCTCAGCTCTTTCACCAATCTTCTGAAGACACAGAGGTTTTTCTGCAACCATCCAACTGCAGTGTGGAGGTCTTTTGTTATCCTTGGCTCCTGAATGAGGTGTACAAACAAATGGAATGAAGTATTGGAAATACCTTTAATAATACTGTGCATTCAATAACACATAATACTAAAAAGTCATGAGCTTTAGTCAGGATGTAGCAAGCATTATCAAGTTTTGATTTTTATTTTTTTTCTCTCTCTCTCCTCAAGTGTCCCTATTTGAGATATAAAAAAAACATACCCTGCTGCAGATTTCAATCTCCTGCTCTTCCGGCACTAGCACGCAGTGAGGACATGTCTCCTGCGAAAAAATTATGGTAATTTGTAGTCTGCTGGACAGAGAAAAACGTAAGCGAGAAAAAGATACCTTTCAACAGCAAAAATTTCCAAGAGAATGAGGCACCACCATTTTAGTATTAGAGTAAAATCAAACTGGCATATAAGGAAAAGCAAATATTAATATATCATCAAATTGAATTAAGTCCCAATGATCTTTTTAAACAACAACTTGCAGCTGTGAAATCAAAGGGCATCTCAAGGACCATGTACAGAGCATACTGAAAAAACAATTTAATACAGAGGTCAAGGAAATCACTTTTGTTTATCCATTCAAATTACATTATGTGTCGATTAATTAATATAATTAATCGCAAACTACATTTGGCTGTGAAAATACCCCCAAAAGAAAGAAATATTTTATTTGATTCAACAAAAAAATTTATTACACGTTTAGGCTGCAATGGTCTAACATAAACTATTCAACATAAAAAAAGATAATTTGAGAAACATATCAGTTTTTTTTTCATTCATACAATGGAAGTCATTGGTAACCAAAACAGCTTTCTTACCAACAGTCTTAAAAATACCTTCTTTTATGTTCCACAAAAGAAAGTAAGTCATTCAGGTTTGAGTAAATGATGACATAATTTAATTTTTTGGGGTGAACTATCCCCTTAAAGTGTTTTTTCCCTTTTTTTAAAAAATGAAATAATACTCTAAATAAGAATCTAAAACTGCCAGCAGGTGGCGGTAAATGTCCTTATGAGTCATTCATTCATTCGATTCGTTCAAACGGCTGATTCATTCAGGAATTCAGTAAACGGCTCACTTTATGAATGGGCCTTTGAATCATTGGTTCACCCGATTCGTTCAAAACACGGATTCATTCAAAAAACTAAACACCTGTAAAATCACATTTGGGACAAACAGCACTCGTGTGATTGCTCTCGTTGCTCGTGTGATATAGCTTATATAAATTTTCCTCACCATCAACCTGAAGATCCAACAGTCAACGGAGCCAGCCAACTGTTGTGGAACATTCTAAAATAATAGAATATTATTCAGTTACTCCTGGAATAAGAATATGACAACGCATCATTTGTATTAGTAGCTTTGTTTTATAAAAGCCTTATAAATCTCACCTTGTTTTTGATCAGCTACCGCATCTATCTATCATCTGATTAAATCATTATAAAAAAAAATGCTGACTTGACATCAACGTAGACTAAAACTTTGAAATGATCCAAAACACTATGTGGCGCTATATGCTTAGTAAGATAACTTTTGCTCCGCCCACTTCCGGCTTGACGCTGCTGGCCTGAGACTGCTGTGATGTAAGGGTTCTGCAGCTGGGGATTGTTGAAGGGAGCGGCGGCTCACTGCAATGGAAGGGAGAACCCCCGTTCTCTGCTGGATAGGCAATGAGACTCGAAACGATGGATGGAGGGCTCATACTGCAACCGAAGGGAGCGGCGGCTCACTGCATTGGAAGGGAGAGCCCCGACCACCGCTGAATAAGCGACACGATTCGAAAACGTTAGATGGAGGGCCCACACTGCAACCGACTGGAGCTGCGGCTCACTGCATCGAAAGGGAGAGCCCCCCATTTGCCGCTGGGCGATGGGAATTCCAAGCTCAGAAAACTTTTTGAACTGTAAGGATATGCGCAGCTGGGATTGCGTCGGGAGGCAGGATGATTAGAAAGTCATTGAGCAGGTGAATAAGTAGGGGAATTGCATAATTATTCGACAAATTGAAAAAACTGCTTCTGGTAACGTGTCAAAAAAATCTTGGAGCTGCTTTGCATCCAAAAGTTAAGCATACAGTGAAATAGAATTTCCAGATGGATAGGCATGGCTTTGAAAGCTGAGGCGATGGGGACATTCTAAAACACTTAACGTGAAAAACGCTTAACGTGGTTTAACGTACCTAAACACCGACCAGGGAAACCCAAATTTCTGTCAAACCTTACTTGTAATAAACACTAACTACTGTCAAAAGAATGAGCCCTTATTCCACAGATAAAGTGAATAATATCACGTTAAGCATTTCTCCCCCATAGAAGTCCATTATAAGGAAACAGCTTAACGTGGTTTAACGTACCTTAACAACGACCGGGGAAAACCACATTTCTGTCAAATGTTACTTATAATAAACACGTTCTGCTGTCAAAAGAACGAGCTCTTCTTATTCAGCGTATAACGGGAATAATATCACGTTAAGCGTTCTCCCCCATTGAAGTCCATTATAAGGAAACAGCTTAACGTGGACGCATCGACGAACTGAGAACATTGTAATTTTGTTCAGTTTAATTTTGTAATAAGCATGAAAGTAAAGACAGGTACACGTTTCTCCTGTCTCAGCTCATTATCTCTAATGATCACACCCTCGCGCAGAGCGCTATTCATATGGTAATGATCTATGCGAGCCATGCGAAACAGGGTCAATGCCCCCCAAACAATGGGACAACAAAGTGTTCATTGTCAAGTTTATTGATTTGTCTGCGCTTTTGGATCATAACACGTTAAGCTGTTTCCTTATAATGGATTTCTATGGGGGGAGAACGCTTAACGTGATATTATTCACTTTATACGCTGAATAAGAGCTCGTTCTTTTGACAGTAGCAAGTGTTTATTATAAGTAAAATTTGACAGAAATGTGGTTGTCCCCAGTCGTTGTTAAGGTACGTTAAACCACGTTAAGCTGTTTCCTTATAATGGACTTCTATGGGGGAGAAAACGCTTAACGTGATATTATTCACTTTATCTGTGGAGTAAGGGCTCATTATTTTGACAGTAGTTAGTGTTTATTACAAGTAAGGTTTGACAAAAATTTGGGTTTCCCTGGTCGTTGTTTACGACCGTTAAGCCACGTTAAGCGTTTTTCACGTTAAGCGTTTTAGAATGTCCCAGGCGATGTCGACTTTGGCCAGCCAAGTGCCATGACCCACGATTTTTATCATATTGATCACATGATCAATGTCCTGCTATTTGAGAGAAAATTCATAGAGAGGAATCAAAGTGTTTATGCTTAAAAACGGGGAGATATGCAGAGCTGACAGATCGATTAAGGTGTTTCTTACCCAAGAATTTTCCAATGGGCTAAATGCGGAAAACTGAGAAGGCGGGAACATCAAAAGGGCTGATCATGAATCTTCGTTTAGTTCTATGGGGGGAAGGCTGAACAGCTTTTTTTTTTTTTTTTTTTTTTAAGAGAAACGGCTATGCGATGCAGGTTTGTTATATGCATTTTATTTATTTACGTGCGTATAAGTTACATCACGCGAACATGCGTGGAGCATCTCAAGCTCCATCTCTGCATGTTGTTGTGAGTTTGGGTTTATTATAACGTTCATCTGGGAACGCAACGTAGATTTTGTAGAACGCAACATCCATTTCAGCAGATCTGTAAGGCAAATAATTTATAAACCTACGCAAACATGGGAGAATAGATCAATATCTTCATAAACTATGCTAACTGTTCATTTCAAAATAAAAGTTCAAACGCTCACTCTGGGTTTACATGTTTTTGACAAAGAAATTACAGTTACTGTAGGATTTCTGTCGTAAAGAAATGGCCAAATATTAAAAATTTAGTGAACATTTGAATTAAATGTTGTTTAGCCAATATTAAACAAGGATTAGATCGCGCAGGCCTTTGATATAATGCATAATGTACATTACTTAAAATTGTTTATAATACATTAAGTATTTTAAGTTTTGTTTAACAAAACCATATTGTTACTTGCTTTTGATACTTTATTTGAGCCAATTATTATTGCCTCATTGCTATTATATATGCATTTAAGGTAATTTTAAAGGATTGATTAGGTCTATTTTTATTACCATAAAAATAAATTAAAATGATCTTATTACTTGATTAATCATCAGAATAATCGACCAATGACTCAGTTACCAAAATAATCGTTAGTGATGGCCCAAGATGAGAGGTCTATGTCCGCACCTGCCAGGATCTGTGCTCGGATGTTGTGAGCCACTGGGGGTGGCTTCAAGGCGACAATATTTGGTGGAACAGGCAGAGGTGTTGCTGTGAAAAGAGAATATTGTGATTTTGAGTGCGAAAGAGAAGTGTAAGGGAGAGGAGCGGGGGCCGTGATTGTCGGCGGAGGCCGCCTCATGCTTAAATCGGGCTCTGGAGCTTGAGGAGGAAGACAGAGAAGCATCAGAGGAAAATGGAGGAAAAGAATGGAATGTGAGGGCCTGTGTTGCAAGCGGAGGCAGCCTCACACATGCTTCAGCTGCTGTAGCTGTAGGCCACGGGAAGGAGATGGGGTTTGTGGCATTCGGAGGAAAATGCTGGAAAGCCTGAGTAGCCTGCATTGCTAGCGGAGGCAGCCTCACGCTAGCGTCTGCTACAGGAGCTGGAGGCCACTGAAAAGTAAAAGGGTTAGAAATAGTGTGAGGAAAAGACTGAGATGTGAGGGCCTGTGTTGCAAGTGGAGGCAGCCGGCCCTTGTGCTTGCTTCAGCTGCTGTAGCTGTAGGCCGCAGGAAAGGGGAGGGGTTAGTGACGATCGGCGGAAAATGCTGAAATGCCTGTGTAGCCTGCAGTGATGCCAACTTAGTAATTTTGTTGTTAGATTTAGCAACTTCTCAGACTACCCTAGCAACTTGTTTATCAAAAAAACACCTAGCAAAAAAAGTGATAAAAATGATAGAAATGCATGCATTTTTCTCTTAACCACACAAAAGAAGGTATTGAAACAGCTAGCCAGCCAAGCAGCACATCAGCTGGTAGAGACTTGGAGAGAGGGGCTTAGCAGTAAGCACATCACATGTGAATTAAGTTGCTAGTTGCGCTTGTTCAATAATAATTATGATACACCTTAGTTGTTAGTTTGTACCTATAATTGTTAATCATTTAGGCACACTGCTGATCTTATCTCGAAAATCGATCTTATCTATCTTATCTATCCATCTATCAGAATGAAATGTGTAATTAAAAATAGAGGTAAAATGCTGGTGAAAATTAATATGGAAAATTTGAGTAATTTTAGTGTGTG